CTTCGGGTATAGGATCGATTGCATATGCTATAATATTTGACCATTCTAAAATTTTCCAAATGCCTAGGGCACTAAGAGGGAAAAAGGACTAGAATCGGTTTTGACTAAAATAATTAAACAACTATCAAAGGACGATCTGAGGTTCACTGAGGATTTGTCGCTTGTGAGTAGTTGGAAGTATAGTACTGGATGGACTATATTGACATTATTATGAATAGATAAGATTCTATTAAGAATGAGTTGTCATATGGCAAACATGGAAATGTTTCCATAATTGGGAGTTGGAAATTAAGAATTTATGTCTAGATTAGAAAATTTTATGCAAAAAGAATGTTCAAAGGAATGTACTTTGAGTGAGAGAAATCACATCTATATAATTGTTTTGTAACAATTTCTGATAGAGTACTTTGTGATTTCATTGACCAAGTCATGATGACTTTTGTGCTATGACTTTACGAAAGAATCATTGCATAAAATGTTAGAATCTGACATATTCTAAAAGTGGCAAGAATTTGGTATTCTTATACTAATAATAAGAATTGGGGATTGTGAAATGAGTTTCATTGGAAAAGTTTTTTAATTGATCTATTTCACAAAGTATGGACCATAGGAAACCAAAGTGTGCATGCTTGGAGCATGGGACAATTGTGGTTATAATTCGAGTAATAAGTTGATTTTCTGAAACAGTAAGCAATGAATAATGAGTAATCAATATGGTGTTTAAATAAAAGTGTTTTTATTTACGCTCAAAAGTTTTGGGACCATATAGGATTAATATTATTATTGCGTTTCACTTTGCATGTTTTGACTTCCAGAATAACTAGGTTATTCGAACCTCCACAGTCGGTCATACGTTGGAAGTAGGTATGAAGGAAGATTGTCATGAATTTGTCTGTAGATTGTCTAAAGTGTTTAGACATAGCACAAGTTTGCTGCAGAGTTCATGAGTACTTTGATAAGATTAAAGTATTGGATTAAACCCACGCTCACTTGAATCACTTCATGGATTTATCACGGGTGATTAGTGAGGCGATAACATTGTATATTCTTGAAACTGAGACGTGTGAGTTGTTATTTGCTGGTCGGTTGCACATTGATAATAAGTAAACGCACCAGTAACTTGGTGTTATAAAACTTATTGTTGTGTATGATTCTATTAGTAGGTGCAAGCAAGCATTTGAGTCGGAGTTTATCCATTCCTTTTACCTAAAGTGGGATAAAAGCGATATATGTGGGCCTCTCGATGATTTAGTGATGACACCCTAAGCGCTTGGCCAAGCCGGGACTAAGTTGATGTGTTCAATTGTAGTCTGTTGTCAGTCGTCATGAATCGGAAGTCGGGAAACAATACATAGACAGAGAGAATGATTTAAATCCATGTCTTGTGTCTATACGATATCTTGTAGAATGGAGGAATATATAATCCCTTATCTAAAGGACACGCGTATCTGATAAGATCAGAGTTGACAGCGGCTTTTGAAAGCTACGATTGTTGATCAGGTTCTGAAGTTATACAAAATAGTTATTAGACTTATCCAAGTGGGAGACTGTTGGATTAGTGTCTAAGTCCATAACTATTTTGGTATGTACTTGACCCGATTATGAGCATGGTCCTTTTGGGTTGCCTTCACCATAGCAATATGTAGGATGAATTAAGGAGAGAAAGGTTTAATTATGATTTATTAATATATCATGAGAATAATATATTAAAGGAGAAATCATATTGTTTAATTAATATTAGTCAAGAATTAATAAAGAATTAATTATGTGGCTAAAAGAGATTAATTAAACTTAGGGGACTGGAATTGTAATTATAGGATAATTGCAATTGGGCTATGGATCACCTTGGAATAATAGGTTGGGCGAATTCTATGGGGAAGCCCATTATAAATCGTCCAAGGCATGTTCTAGAAGAGGTCCATGGGCTGCTTAGGGCTTAAGCAGTCAAATTAGGGTTTCCTTGTTGGATAACCCTAATAGCCTAAGTATATAAGGAACCCTTGGGCACCAAAAACGTGGCTAACACTTGGGTTAGGGTTTCCAGCCGTTTTTGGTGCCTCCTCTCTCTTCTCTCCTTCATCCAATTGCTTAGTGGTGTTTGTGACTCCATTAGAGGTGCAACACTTGAGGCACTAAGCTTTCTGAAGCCAAGGATTGATTGTTATTGCTATATAACAATCAAAGGTAAGATCTAAACCCTAATTTCAGTTATAGTTTATTAGATCTAGGGTTTATGGCTTTGGATTATCAATTGCATGTTCATTAGACAAACTAGATCCAAAGCTATTAGGGTTTGCATGTACACCATAGGATTGCTGTATTGCTCAAAACCCATCAAGTAGTTATTGTATGTGTAGGAGTGTGGGCATTCCAACCCGATAGTTGTGGGCCGGGAGTATTCCATCCCGAGGATGATTGGACTCGTAGTATGTTGGCATTCCAACCCGATGGTTGAGGGCCAGGGGTATTCCAACCCGATGGTTGACTGGACCCATAGTATGATGTTCATTTCTGTATGTGTATGGTTGTATGTGTATGGGTATTTTGGGGGTAACTCACTAAGCTTTCGGGCTTACAGTTTCAGTTTATTGTTTCAGGTACATCAGGAGATCGTGGCAAGGCAAAGACGTGATCGTACCGCTCCTCATTTTTATGATGTTGTTTCTGGGATACTCTGATAATAAACTATTTGGAAACCTTTTTGTAATAACTAATGGAACTTGGGTTGTTTTTGAAAGTTTAAATTGGTTTGAAATTTTTGGGTGTTACAAGTTATCCTATAAATACCTACCATTTTATAAATATTTTCACACAATTTCTCTCTTTCTCTCTATATAATTTCAATTATCTTCAAAAAAATTATGGATCCTTTCGACTCGTCTAATGATTTCGATGACGATATATTCTTCAGGATGATGTATCATTATTACACTAACGAGCTGCAACAACCAGACCCAGTCCCAGTTCCGCTACTAACAAGATGTGCGATGTTAAACAAAAATCGTGAGGAAGGACACGAACATCTATATCGCGATTACTTTGCGGATAATTGTGTATACGGGTCGAAGGACTTCAAAAGAAGATTTTGTTTAAGTAGGAATGTGTTCCTACGGATCGCCAACGCCTTGGAAAGTCGGTATCATTTCTTTAGTCTAAATACATATTTACTATACTTTTATACAAAATAAATACAAATGTACTACATGTTTCTTTAATTTTAAAACAAATGTACTATATTTTTAAACTGTAGTTAATTTATGTTTTAGGTATGATTTTTTTCAATAGAGATATAATGCTAGAGGTAGACTATGGTTTACGGCGTTGCAGAAATGTGTTGCGGCCATTCGTTTGATGGCTATGGGGGAGTCACCCGACACCATGGACGACTATATGAGAATGTCCGAAAGAACCGCAATTGAGAGTTTGTATACATTGTCAAGAGGTGTTGTTGAAACATTTAGAGACGTATATTTGCGGAAACCTTCATTGCATGATTTGCAAGAATTGTATGTGGCGCATGAAGAACGCCATGGGTTTCCTAGAATGATTGAAAGCATTGATTGCACACACTGGAAATAGAAAAATTGTCCAGTAGCATGAAAAGGGCAATAAGTGGTCATCACGGATCACCTTCGTTGGTTTTAGAGGTCGTTTCTCAAGATTTATGGATTTGGCATGCATTTTTTGGGGTTGCGGGTTCCAACAATGACATCAACGTTCTTGATCAGTTGTCAATATTCGACAATCTTTTGAATGGAAAGGCCTGTATGCTCCTTTCATAGTGAATGGAAACGAATACAAATATGGGTATTACCTTACAGATGGAATATATCATCAGTATTCAACATTCGTGAAGGCATTCCGACATCCGGTTGAAGAAAGAGACAACTTTTTTCAAGAGAAGACAAGAAGAAGCACGTAAGGATGTGAAACGTGTTTTTAAAGTGCTAAAGGCAAAGTGGCACATAGTTGAACATGCGGCACGACCATTGGACTTAGAAACTCTATGATATATCATGTATGCATGTATCATAATGCATAACATGGTAGTAGAAGATAAATGACGAAATATTGCACACTATATCCCAACAGAACCCAGACACGTTCAATTTCAACTAGAAACAGCAGAGTATTTGCATAGAGTCGTTGACATTCAGGAAGCAAATAAACACATACAACTTCAAGAGGACTTAGCGGATTATATTCCACGATAACGAAAACGAATAGCGTTGTTTAGGAAAAATAAAATATTTTTTTATTGTAATGTTTTTTTTTCAATCTGGTTGTTATGTGTAATTTAAATGCTATGTTATTTTTTTAAACATTATGTTTTATTTATAGATTATGTTTTATTTAAAATATATTTGTTTTAACTACAAAAAAAGAAACTAAAAAAAAAATTATGAAATTGAAAAAAGTTGGTGTTATAAGATGCTCTTAACATGGTAAACATTTCTCCACTTGGTGTTATAACATCATTGCTAATGTGGCAAATGAGGTCGCACCAATTTGATGTTATGAATAATTGCCCAAACTATACTTTTATTCTTTCTTTTTCTTTAAATTATGGCTATACAAAAAAAACCATGTGGCTCTTATTCTTTTTTTTTGTTTCTTTAAATTATGGCTACAAAAAAACCATGTGGCGTTACAAACATCATAGCATACTAGACCTGGAATGTTGGAATGTTGGAATGTTGGAATAATGATGCCTCGCGAGAACTTTTCGAAACTCATGACGCCCAGTTTCTATGCATCAGTTAAACATAAAACATATGACAAGGAAATCACATATTCCATTAAAAATATAATTTAGCAAGATAACAGAATGATCTGAAATTGTTGGAAAATAAAAGTTAAAACCCTTTAGAAGTTTTTTCTGAGAATAGCTTACGACGATATAAAACAAAAGTCAAACTCCAACTTTTTGACAGATCATAGAGTTAATACTTAATATTTTTGTTGGGTCATTTTTGTTCGGATTTGTCTTCTATCATTTATCAAACTGCTTCTAACAGGGACAGAGCATTCCTTACATGACGAAAATCAAGTTCATCTCTAGTTATAAACGCTCTAAACTCCCTTACCTCTTCATTGACGTTGTAATGTAGTTTTATTCCTCTAAATAAAGCCGCCGCCCCATGAAATTCTTTCACTTCTACTTTACGACCACTATTGGCTGACAAAGATATACCGCGCCCCCATATAGAAGTCTCGTAAGGCACTTGTTTATCGAAGAACTTGTTGTCTATTTGAGGCAACTTGATCTTACACTTGTATGCTGGTACTTCTTCCTGTTCAGAGAGGACGACTTCGCCACCAACGTCGCTAGGGCCATAAAGGACTGGCCACGTCATCTTGGCCATATCGATGTAGTGATATTCATTAGCCTGGCAGGGTTTAGAGCATTGCCTGGCTTTGATATGATAACCTGACAGGCTGACAATGGATGTCAACAGCCAAGCATTAGGGGCTCCTACTCGGAAGCCTCCTCTGACTACATGTCGACCCATTTCTTTCTCCAACTTTCCTTTAAGAGTAAAGGGGGAGTTATATGGGAAAGGGTTAAGTGGCAAGAGTAGTGTCGGGACCCCTGCAAAGGTAGTCCAGGGTGCAGAGATATAAAGGGTGTCATTTTCGACGTTTGTCTCAAATGTCTCTATATCATCATCTTTGTCATTGAGCGTCGGGATTCTTCGGTCGGTATTGTAGCCGTCGAAATCATGTTGAATTTCTACGAACACGCCACTCATACCTGGAAGTGGCACAGGACGGCGGATGGCTTCAGCTGCTGCAGCCGAGATCATGTTGAATCTGGTATAGAAATTTAGATATGAAGAGAAGAGGTCTTTAGGGTCATCTTCAGTTGCCATGCGGACAGACCTAACACTACAACATTAACACCATATGGCGACGACGAATTCGGACTCTATCCCGACGACATGTCGTCGGCATAGGGTATGCCAACGACATGTCGTCGGGATAGAGTCGTCGGCATAGGCGTGTCGGCATAGGTCAATAGTGTCGTCGGTATAGATGTCGTCGCGATAGCTTCACCTATCGCGACAACAAGGCGTCGGGATAGGTTCTTGTCAATCATATTTTCAGGGATAAAAGATAAAGTTTTATTAATTACCTATAGCGACGACATGTGGTCGCCACAGGATATGTCTATTACGATGACAAGTCGTCGCTATAGGGTTTTAACATTAGCCAATGACATACCTATAGCAACGACTTGTCGTCGGGATAGACACTGTTTGTTTTTTTTTCAATTTTACAGATTTAGTACATTGCCATTCCTGCATTTTTAACAAATCCAAAACACATTCCAACATATATCATTTGAATACATTAACCAAGTACTATTGTTCAAATTCAAAACATCAAATTCAAATAGTTAACTAACATTGTTCAAAACACTAAAAAAACATCAAACATCATTATCATAATCATATTCTTCTCCTTCTTCTCCTTCTCCTTCTCCTTCTTCTCCTTCTCCTTCTTCTTCTCCTTCTTCTTCCATCCTTTCGGCAACTTGTTGAGAGGTAGTTGCTTGTGTGTTAGAGTTGAATAGAAAGTTAGGAAATGGTGGTGGTTGGAAGCCCGGAATACATGCCGCCAATGATGCATTATATTGTTGCAAGTATTCTTGCATTTGTTGTGCATCAAATTGGGATTGAGATTGGGACGATTTTGAAGTGGAAGGTCGTTCATTTGGAATTAAACCGAAGTTGGCGTTTGGTCTCCTACAGCATTGTACTTTTAATATTATTTTGTTTTTTTTTTGTTTTTTTTATAGCACCATAAACAAGATAAAAAATACTTTTAATATTACTTTTAATAACAACGTAATTTTATTATTTTGTTTTATGTTATAACTTTCAAATAGAAATGAAAATAAAATACTTTAATTAACAAGATAAAAAAAAGTATGTTGCTATTAATAACTTTTATAGTTTAAATATTTTTGACTTGATAAACTTTAATCTCAATAAACATATTCCAAAAAACTCAATTATCAAGATAAAAAAAAGTATGTTGCTATTAATAACTAAACAAATTAAACACAACCATACATATTTTACATTTTATACATAAAATTTCATACCAACCTAAACAAAGATCACAATCATACAAAATTTCATACCAACCTAAACAAAGATCACATAAAATTTCATACCAACCTAAACAATTTCAATTTCATATACCAACCTAAACAACATCAATTTCATACCAACCTAAACAATCATACAAAATTTCATACCAACCTAAACAAACAATATACATATTCCAAACAAAAAACAACAATCACACATATAACAAACAAACAACACAATCACACATATACCAACCAAGCAAAACAATTCTATAGCAATGTACTTTTATTAGTTTGTTTAAAATATAAACCTAGACAAACAACACAATCACATATATATACCAAACAAACAACACAATTATATAATCAAAAGAGGATCAATTTCAATTTCAACACAATTCTATATGTACATATAATTTCAATTTCAATAAAAATTAGAAAAAAAAAACTAACCTGTGTTTTGTTCTTGTATGATGAACGAATTCTGGCTAGTCAAAGAAGTTGGTAATCCTCCGGTGGTGGCTGGTGGTGGCCACAGGCGGCAATATAAAATCAGAAAAAAAAAACAATATGAACGAAATAGGGGTAGAAAACGGACCAGTGAACAACTCCCTTGGTGGCTGGAACGAGGTCGTCGGCGAACAACTCGCCGGTGGGAAGGTTGAGGCAGGAAAACGGGCGGTGGTGCTTCACCACCGGTTAACTACCCTACACACCAAAAAACCCCAAATTTGTGGTAAAAATCATTACCAAACAACAATAAAAAACAAAATAGGTGTAGAAACAACCTTGGATAGGGTTAATCGCCGGTGATTTGAGTTGGGATGCAATTTTCGTCACAGGAGGAAGAAAGAACAGTCGCTGTGTGCAAATGAAGGACGCCTGCGTATCTTTGTTAGGGTAAACCCCTATGCCGACGACATGTCGTCGGTATAGGGTCCACATAAACGACGACGTTGCGTTTTTTGCTGAAATAAAAATATATATATAAATTAAAAAACCTGTGCCGACGACTGGTCGTCGTGATAGCCTTCCCCAAAACTACGTCGTTCTGTTTTTCTGGCACATGGAATAAAAATAAATGGAAAATAGATTTTTTGATACCTATACCGACGACATGTCGTCGGTATAGATTTTCAGATTACCGCGAACATTTTCGTCGTTCCCGCCAGACTTGTGGCAACGACTTGTCGTCGGCACAGATATCGCGGTCAAAGGAAATTGGTCAACGGTTCCAAAAGATATGGCGACGACATGTCGTCGGGATAGGGTGACCTGTAGCGACGACTCTTGTCGTCGGCATAGCTTAGTATTCTTGTAGTGTAACAGCGAGTCCAGTTTGTATGGCTTGTACAAAGACCATCGCCGTGAGGTGTATCGTCTCCAGTTTGTTGCTGATATACGACCATTCGTTGAGCGCCCGTTGGTTACCATATCCGGCAACTCCTTCATTTAGGAAGGTGTACCTCCCACGGATTGAAGCGAAAGCAGGGAGTGACACCCGCCAGTCGTAACTCAACCAGATTTGACCATCTGCGGTTTGTGGAACCATTTGATACATCAGCGACGTCACAATATGCAGTGCCACCGAGAATTGGTCGTACAGCCTGTTATTGTTGACGTAGCTGATGATGGCTGACCAAGCAACAGCTGAGGTAGGAGGCGTTGGGATGTCAGCTGCTTTCTCAGTCGCCGGAAACAACCATCCATCCAGACCAGGCAAGTCAGGGTTGGCACGATAACAGATGTTATCAGCTAACTTGGGTAGTTCGAAATCAAGCCTGAGGTTGGAACGTGACTTCCACGCTCCGACCATGAGAGCAATAAACCTAGCCTCGACGCCTTTCATGCCTCTGAGATCTAGCGCGGGATAGGGCTGATCTGGGACAAAGTCAACTATTCTAGTCATTTCTGGGTAATTAGCGACGTCAGAACCCGCAGGCCAGATGTTTTTTGCCCATTTCGAATCGGTTGTCGTGCGCATGCCATAGTTAGGGTCGATACGAATCTTACCATCAGTAAACTCCGGTAGCTTGTTGTCAATGTCACCGGACGTCTCGATAGTTTTGGTGATGAGTGCATACCTCAGGGCGTTGACAAGCAATGTAGTATGGTTGTCACTCCAAGACCGTGAACACATCATCAGCTGACCAGTTTGCATGTAACCCATCGTCAAGACTGTTTTACAGATGCTTTTGACATCGAGGATGCCTTGAGTTGTGATGTAACGATCACCGATACCATCATAACTTGATGCGTTGGAGTTGATGTCAGCTGTAGTACGACCAAGCATGGTCATCGGCTGGACTGAGAAGAATGCCTTGTGTTGAGACAGATGAGGGGCCTTGGTCCCGAAGAGGCCTTCCATGTAAGTGTGGTTGATCATTCCAGGCTCAAGCTGGACGAACGGGAGGCCAGGAGCATGGAAATTTTTGAATAACTTCTTCACGAACGTGTCCATTGCTATTACACGGAGTTGAGAGAGAGAGGAAGAGAGTTTTAATTAACTTTGGGTTTGCCCTTTAATAAACATTCAACTATATGAAACGGTCATAAATTTATTACTAGTAGTTGGGTGTGGCAATGAACAGCCACATGATATTGAACCGGCAAACTTTCAAAAACCCTACAGTTAAGCTTGGATTGAATTTTAATTTTCAAAAACATTCCTTTTCTTATTTATTTGGTTTAATGAATCGTCTCGACTTTCATCAAGCCTTTTAATGTCTCAAATTTAATGTTTTTTTTTTATCATTGTTTAGTTTCGTTTTTACTAATATTCTTTTTAAAGGAATGCTTAACACTGCAGATCTTTATATGTTTAATTAATGTAACAGGACAATATGTGAGTAATAGTAATAAAAAAAAGATACACATTTACTCATTTACCCATCTTTCTAAGATGAATTTAGAAAAAAAAAACATGTTTATTTTTCCAATAATTATCAATGGGGTATCTTTATTTTATATGTAACTCTTATAGGTAAATAATTACATATGGTTCTAGCTAAAATGGATGGAAAAAAAACGTAACCGGTTAAAAGTTTAGTTCTATAAAAAATATTTCCTTTTTCATACAATTTGAGTAGTTACATTGTTTTACATAAGTGAATGTAGTTATTATCAATATAGTCAAATTTTAAAAACCTCTACGTAGAGGAGATTGTGAATGATAATAGAATCAACTTCGGGTACATATGCCTCAAAATGAATGTTGTTCCCAGTTGTCCGATTTATCGGTTGTGGATCATGGACATCCCCTGCACCCAGGAACTTTATAAATTGTCAACTTCATTTATCTTATTGTTTCTCTTTCACATCATATTGATTATTAAGGAAATTAATTCAAAGAGCTGCTGATTGTAATTATATAATGGTTAATTTCAATTAATTCAAACTTGTTTCCGTTACTAAGTGATACCCTATGCAAGCATATATATAATGGCAGATTTCAATTAGAAAGGAGTCAAAATTGAGTTACTTATTTGCAAAGTAATGCATATATAATGAGTAACTAAATCTACGACTACACACATCAAACAACTTAATTTGAGAGAAAAGTGACGAGCGGCAAGAGCATCAATAGATCGATGGATAACGATTCAAGGATGGTGCCAATAATTGAAGCAGTTTCAACAGGGAATTATGGTGTGTTTAACACTTTTGATTGGTAGAAGAAAAAAGGACATTGTTGTTATCTTAGAGGTGTGATTAGGATAGAAGAAGAAATGGTTTATCTAAACCACGTCGTTACCAAAGAAGTAATGGTCTTAGTATAAAGCATGTTTGTATGGACACTTTCATGCCACGTCAGATTTCATCTAATTAAAAATTGTTCATCTAAGCCTTTAGGTCCATAATGGCTTTTATGCAAAATAATAATAATAATAATTAATTAATTATTTATTTATTTAATGGCTTTTCTAGATAAAAGGTTGATAACGTGATAGTTTTTTAACTTTTTATGTAAATTGCATTAAATAAAGTTATTCATCAAAAGGTCCTTCCATTAACTCCATATGAATATAGATGCAACAATTCAAACATGATGTACAATTTTTAATGCATAAAATATGAGTAGCGTCCGAAAATAAACAGACTACAAGAGATAGATAAAAGCAACCCCTCACAATGAGCTCATTAGATAAGAACACTTCTTGATTTCAATATTGTCTATATCTAGTTTCTCTTGTGGAAAATTGCACATTCCAATCTTGTCTGCCCCTTGGTCAGGCAACAAGTCACAAGGCTTAGGAACTACACCACTAGTCACCCCTTGAATATCACTACATGTCCATGGCACTTTTTTGGCCTTCACACGCATACCAATAGTCGCATTCGATATACAAATCCCCTTAAAACTATCCCCCGAGATCCCCTCCAATCGAGCCGCCATTGTCACGTTTTCCGCGACCACGTCCATGTAATTTATGTTCTGGATGATTGGAATAGCATTTGGGTCCCAGTGATCATCAGCATGAGACCCATAGTTTCCGGTGATCCAGAACACCCATTTCATGGTATGCAGGGTCATACCTTTTACATAAATGTCCTTTACGAATCCACCACGCCCGACCCCAGTCTTGATTCGGACTGCTGATTCGGTGTTGATGGCGACGATGTCCTCCGCCCTCACATCCTGAATCCCACCTGACATTTCACTTCCCAATGCAATGGCGGCACTGTAAGGCGATATACACGTGAGCCGTCTGATGATCAAGTGATCTGTCGGCATGGCAAATGATATCCCGTACTCATCCCAACCACTCTTAACCGCCACACAATCGTCTCCGGAGACAATATATGTGTCTTCTATTCTCGTGTTTGAGCAAGAATCTAATACACATTTAATTCATTATAATTACTGAAAATTCGATCAACCGACGAAATTAATAGAGGTAATTAAGACTAACCCGGGTTAATTCCATCGGTGTTGGGAGACTGAACTGGAGCCAAAATTGTAATCCCTTGTATAAGAATGTTGCTGCAATACAACATATATAAGCTTAAGAATGGACTAATATGCCAATGATTTTGCAATGTAGGGGTCAAAAATATACATGACAATTATAATATTTCATATTTAGCCCAATACTATTGTTAACTGTCACACAACTCACTTTAATGTACAAGAAGACTTGCTAAAGTAAAAGAAAGGGCATTTTAGGAAATCCCACTATAAAATAATGATTACCTGCTATAAACGGGATGGACATTCCATGATGGAGAATTTAAAAACGTAAGATTGGAAATCTGAATGGTATCTGAATACATGATCTCAAGTAGATAGGGCCGAGTGTATTTCAATTTTTTCCCATGGAATTTTTGCCACCAAAGTAAACCTTGGCCGTCGATCGTGCCATTATCACCTATCCAACGTTCATGATTAAATCTCAAGGCATTTTATAATAACTTATAAAAGTAAGCTTGATGTCTAATTTGGTCATTTTAGCTACCTGTGATAACGACATCAGTGAGATTTGTCCCAAATATGAGGCTAATGTACCTTCCCCCGGCTGCATCTCTTCCATGGCCGTAGGATGGCAGAGGATCAATCACTGGCCATCCATTTATATCCTGTTTATACATAATGTACAAGTAACTAAGCCAAGAGTACAAGTTGGATACAAATCACTTACTTAGTAGTTAGTAGTTACCAGTTACATTTTCGTTTCAAACCGACCATTCTTCTTGCAAAAGTAAGAAAAATAGGAAACTTTATAAGATAAAATGCCTAAAATACCCTCCTAATAAGTAGAAAACTCACTATCATCACAGATTCACAACTTTAAACTTCAATTATATACTTCAAATAAGGCCAAATATATATCACATGATCAAAACAAGCCAAAAGTATTTTATTGGAGTTTGTAATTCCGGGGGATAAATTCTCACGTGACTAGATTGGACAAAAGTTATCTGTATTGATAAAAACTGTATAACTGTATTAAATTTGTGCATCTGAAAATTAAGGTTACTTTAATATGTACTTGTATATTCATAAGTTGATCACCATTTAATTTGCAAAATACATGTTATATGTGTAATATTTTTACTGCTCTTTATTCTATTAATTATCCTGACTATATTTACAATTTCTACCAATACATATTTTGTATTCTTACTTTGGCTGTAAATGTCAAACAAGCATATTTTTAATTCAAATTTTACGAAAAAAATAAATAAATAAACTCTCATATGTAAAACTGAAAATTTTATGTTTGACATTAAAAAGGTGAAATACCTGTGAAGCAAGAAGGGTGGCATCCTTGTGAAGAAAGAGAGTAAAATGGCTTGTGAGATTGAAGCTGCCGGTCAACCATTGACCAGCTGGGACATAGAGCTGAGCCCCACCGTCTGAGCCGTATTGGCTCAATGAATTCACTGCTTCCTGAAAGGCCCTTGTATTTAGCGTTTTTCCATCTCCAACCCCTCCAAATTCTACAATTGATGCACTGTGCCCTCTGCAGCTTATCGCCGTGTACTCTAATGACCCTTCTAGTTTTCTTACTTTTCTTCCCTCAACTACTCCCATACTTGCCACCACTATCACCACCACAAATAACAATATTATCTCTCTCATCTGTAAAAGAAAAGAGATGTGATTAAATAGTGTAGTAGCTCAAATAAAAAGGTTATTAATTACCTTACTTATTATGGGCAAGAATGGTATTTCACATTCATATAGCAAAGAAACGTAATTATGATTATTTTAAAACAATAATGTTATAATAACACGTACATCAACGAGCTTAAACACATTATATGTTGAAAATCTTTTACTTTTGTTGCTACAATAGTGAGAATGAATTATGCATCTATAGTTGTATATTTGCAATGAAATTTCACCTTCTATCAAAAACCAGTTTATGGTTTCATGTGCAGAATTAATCGAAATAGTTGAGGCAGAAGTGCACTTACTTGAAGATGTAGATGGCTCCTTGTTTTGTGGCAACACTCCATAGTTAGCTTTTGAAGAATGTAATGTGAGATGTGTTTGGTGGGGTGTTGGAAAAGCATGAAGTCTTTTGTGAGTATTTATAGGACAAAAACCCAATATTATTGGCATGGGCATACTCACATGTATCTTCATTTATGCTAAAATGGAATTAGTGTTAAATATAAAAAACAACAATATATTTTTATTGATTTGGTATTATATTTTATTTTTGTTTTTTTTTTCTTGTTATAACATTGTATTTTGAAAAATGTGTTTAATTATTACAATATCATTTGGATACAAGGCAATTTAATCATCTTTACGAGAACATACTGAAATTGCAATTTTATAATTTAATAGATTTACCAAAATACAGTGTCTTATCAAGAAAAAAAAAAACTACAAATACAATATTATAATAAAAATTAAATAATAATATGATGTTATAATACTAAATAACTTAAAATACTTTGATATTTCTTACGCTTAGCCTAAATAATTATTCAATATGAAATGTATCTGTTACAAAATAGTGCATATCCAAGATATCTAATAACAATATGTAATATGAAACATAAGTTTTACAATTTCGGATTATATATTATTAGTAATGGAAAAAGATGTATATTATTATAAATTTATAATAAAATACATATTGCTATTATAAATAATGATTAAATACGTTATCTATATAAAAACAAATACGTTATTATGTCGATAATTTAAACCATTATTAATCCACCACTTATTTTAGGTACAAGTTCCGGGTTATATATTTTATGCACCCCACATTCTTGTTCCATTTGGTTTTAATGCTATTTTATTTAGATTCTCTTTTTTCTCTTGTGACTCTCTAGTGATGTGATTCATGATTACCATTTGGAACTTTGTGGCACAAGAAAACTTAGGCTATTGTTTATTATCATAAAGTATGTTCATATGCAGTTATATGGATTTTATATAAGAGAGGTTATACTATATTAATAAAATAGCATGTATTTGAAGTGTTTGATGATGAAAAATTGAGCAATGATAACTGCTTTCTTGTGTTTCGAAAAGAAGAAGAAAAAACATGTTAGGAATACTAAGTCGATGAGGACTTGGAGAACAAGCAATCTAGTTTATGGCAAGTCTAGATTATGACAAGTTGGTCATAAGTTTCCTAGTCTAATACAAGTTGGTATGTTAGGTTATATATACTTATCTATAATCGAGTTTATAATTATGAGAACAGATTGTAAAACATTGGTTTTGAGTGATTTTTCAATTAATCAAAGAGTGAATTTTGGTTATTTTTATTTTGCATTCTTGTTTTTTAAACTTTAATTGGTATCAGAGCATAGGGTTCGTGAGGACGTAGGGTGGCTGGTTTGAGAGTCGGTTTCAAGAAAACTGTAGCCTTTCGTTGCGGGGCAGACGCAACGGGAACCGGGTTCGGTTTAAGGGGGTGTGGATTGTTTTTGAGCGCGAGTTGAAGCATCTCAATAGCAGCCACGATTTCTCTTGATCGGGCTTGTTCTATGGTAGAGAGAGACTAACCGGAGGCGCGGAATAGACGAACGGAAAGACGTAAAGCGGGTAGCTTTTATTTGGTTTGGTTTGTGGGTGACGAAAGACGGTAAAGGTGGTCGTGACCTTGTCTTGTTGTTCGGTGGAAGAGTGCTCTCAAAACAAGTTTGATTAAACAGGTCGAGGTTGTCAAAAGAGAGAATAAGACGTTGATCGGTTGAAATCAAATAGTAGAAAAATCAAAGGGTTGTGTTTACATTAATTGGACAACAATGACTAGCGAGGTAGAAAGTTCGAATTGTTCGTGATAAGGGGATACCGGTGTAGGTGCGTGAAAAGCGGGCAGGAAGGATCCGTCAAAGCAGGTGGCTTTGGATTCAGTTCGTTTGGCATGATTGAAAGAAAACGGTGAAGCAGGTGGCTTTGTTTTCTTGGTCGATGGAGATGCCTCTTTGAGCAAAGGTAATCGGAACAAAGGAAGAGATTGGACAAACAACACGGTGTGAACATTATGGCGGTGGAAGTTCAAATCGGATGGCTTTGGATCTGGCCGAAGAGAGGTTGTGAATTCGGGAAAAGTCTAGATGGTAATGAACGCATCCAACGGGATGTCATGTTACATGTTACATGTGTTGTGAACAATCAAAATGGTACGGATGACTTTAGACGTAACCGAGGTGGAGGTTGGGTGTCCGGAAAAGTCGAGAATTGAGATGGTTCGAAAAAGAATGTGATTTTTCAGAATGTGACGACAACGATGAGCCCGTATTTTAAATACGGATCGGGTTGAAGAAATCTCTAGAAGGACTTAGAGATACGGCGGTGATTGTTGGAATCCTAAGTCGATGAGGACTTGGACACCAAGCAATCTAGTTTATGGCAAGTCTAGTTTATGGCAAGTCTAGTTTATGACAAGTTGGTCATAAGTTTCCTAGTCTAATACAAGTTGGTATGTTAGGCTATATATACATGTCTATAATCGAGTTTATGATTATGAGAACAGATTGTAAAACATTGGTTTTGAGTGATTTTCCAATTAATCAAAGAGTGAATTTTGGTTATTTTTATTTTGCATTCTTGTTTTCTAAACTTTAAAACAAACATAGTTTTTTAACTTGTATAAAAGTTCAAATTATTTTCACATGATTGTTTCTAAGGAGCTTAAAGCAAGGGTGTAAAATGATTGTTGTTGTCGATTACATAATTAGTCTTTAAGTATACTCTTGATTTATAAAGTTTTAGTCTTGAATTTTTATTTTATTTTTACGCCTATTGTTTTTATTTAAGGTTTTTGTAACGTTGTTTGTCCATATTTTAAGTAAAAGATGACAAAAAAAAAATACAAAGTTGTAAACAATTATACTCATAAACCTAAAATAGATATTTTATTGTGAACAAAGACCATAAAAATGTTATAAAAATCTCAAATAAATACCAAAATTACGAAAGAATTTTTATGGATGTGAAATCCTCTAGCACTTAATTTGTAGTGTTCACTTTTCAAGCTCCTTGTTAGAATTATAATATTCATACGAACAATTTTTATTTTATTTTTTTGTCAAATTTGAAGTTATGACCAAAAATAGTAACAATTTATATTATCGTAAGTGAAATATTTTAGGCATCTCATGTTAGCTCAATCAAGTAAGGTTTGGTAAGCATCAAGGTTGTAAAGATCATGATTTTACCTAGGATCGATTTCTATTTTGTAAAATCGTGATCATAAGATCGGGTCGAGATCGAAAATGACACCTAATTGAAATAATTGTAAGTTTAAGACTAAAAAGTGTATCTATATCTACCTCTTTGCAATTATATAAAATTTGGAACATAATGATAATCTTAAACCTAATATATAAACTTTGAATCGTTGATATTGTTTTCTTCTTTTTATAATATTATAACGACCCGGATTTTCTATACATAATTTCTAAGGGACATATCAGAGTTTTATCTAACAAATACAGAATTCTATGCAAATCAAAAACCTTTACATCTCAGGACAAATCACGAGTTTACAATAAAAATCTATCCATCTAAACGAACAACAAGGAAATACAACAAATAGCGACCTACTATCTAAGTTTTGTCCTTGTGCTCCTGTCTTCTCTTCTGGTACCACGGTTGCTGCTACCTGAACCTATAAAACATAAAATATCTATTATATGAGACAAACATGTCTTGTGAGTTATTCTTTCTACTTTTCTTATCTTTCTTTTCCTTCTCTTTCTCATACTGTATCATCTAACTCTTTCTTTCATAGCATACACTGCTATTCTTTCCCATCTTATATATCTCTTCTCATCTAACCTCATCATTTCATCTCTTACTCCATCTTAGTCTCTTCTCATTCTCTGCACATACTTTGTCTCTGTCTCTACCTCTACCTCTTCTCTACTCTATCTTTACTCTACGCTATCTCTTTTTTACTATGTCTCTTCTATACTTTGTCTCTTGTAACATCCCAAAAATACAACCCAAAAAATTTTTTGTTTGAAAACTTTTACTAAACCATAATACCAATATTAAAAGATAAAACCATGAATCATGTATCTCAAAATGTCATAATAAATTTATCAAATCAAAACTAGTGTCAAGATCATATCAAAATATCAGATTCAAACTCCCAGGCTAAAACTATGGTTTGTGTCATGCCATCATCCCAAGCCCTTCCCTTTGCTAGTTGAAGTACCTGAAACCAAAACTGAATTTGTAAGCACGAAGCTTAGTGAGTTTTCCCCCAAACTACCACATACCATACAATAACATATAAAGCACATACTGGGCCTCGCCCACTGCATCGGACCGAAGTCTGGAACTGACTAGGGCCTTGCCCACTACATCGGACCGAAGTCCGGAACTGACTAGGGCCTTGCCCACTGCATCGGACCGAAGTCTGGAACTGCATCGGACCAAAGTCCGGAACTGACTGAACATATCATAACATAATCGTAACATATAATATGAACACATATACTACATACTGCATCGGACCATAGTCCGGAACACATAACACATACCATGCATGTATCACAAAGACACCAAGCATACTGAACTACTGCATCGGACTGTAGTCCGGAACTACTGCTAACTAAACGGGCCGGCATTGTGGCCGTAGACCCGTTCCTACTGGAAGGAAACTCACCTCCTAAGGCTGGCTGCTGAAATGCTGCTCGGGAACTGTCTGACTGCTGCTCCGGTAACTCCCCGGCTACAATTCCCAAAAGACACTTAATCAGACAATGATAACTAATCTTAGGGTAAAATGACTATTTTACCCCCCCGGTCAAAGTCAACAATCCGTTGACCTGACTCGCCGAGTTGAGCCGCCAACTTGTCGAGTACCTATCTTTCCTTCTACTCCCCTTCCCGACTCTACTCGTCGAGTTTAGCGAAGACTCGACGAGTTCTCATTCTATAATAACATCAAGTCAACCTTTATCTGACTCGCCGAGTTGTATGAACAACTCGTCGAGTCCTCCTTCATCATATGAACACTTCCAGTCTGTGACTCGCCGAGTTGTATGAACAACTCGTCGAGTCTGTTCTTATAGGTAAGGAGATTGCCTTGGACTCGCCGAGTCAGGGCG